GTAATCGATGTCACTGAATTGTACATGTAGAAATTTTTAAAATGGTGTATCTTTGGCTACGTATATTTTCACCAAAAAAAAAGTCCTCCAAGGTTGAGAAGGGAGAGTGTTGACATGTCATGGGGTTGTTAACCAGTGTCATAAAACAATATGTGTACTGACTGTTTAATGAGAAACTATTTGTTCTGTAAACCCTATCTAAAGTACAATTAAAAAAAAAAAATCTAAACCATTTTTTACATTTTATATGGAAGAATTAAAAAATAAAAACAATATTTTGAGACATTTTGAAAATTTCTCTTTTTTAATTTAACCCTTAGGTCCTGAAGTAGGAGCATCTCCACAAAGTGGAAGAAAAAGCGTGGCAGCTGAAGGAGCCTTGCTACCACAGACGCCCCCATCCCCTCGGAATTTGATTCCACATGGACATAGGAAGTGCCATAGCTTGGGTTATAAGTCAGCATTTTTAAATTTTATCTTTCAGATTTTTAAGTTATATATAATTTAGTTTATGTTCTATTTACTTTATTAGTGTCCTTGCATAGTTTTCTTATATGAAAAAATCTTACTCTGATTCAGTAAAATATCTTGTTTGCCTGAAAGTATTTACTTCTTCCTTTACCTAAATTTGGAAATGAGCTTTTCCAGCAGTATCTTCACATTTAGGGGAGATAAATGAACACTACAGAAAGCTGTCATAAGTAAATCTGGAAAGCAATATACCATTTTCCTTTTAAATTATAGCCTTTACATCAAGACAGTCATTACTTGTCTTAACCAAAGTAAGTCATCATAAGTTAAGGTCTATAAAAAGTATTCTCTTCATTCCTAAATGTAAAGAAAGGGAAGCTGATTTTTTTTTTTTTTTAAAGTATTTCCTGTATACATAAAGTGGATATGACCAGGTTTCCTAAAAAATTTCCCTAAACTTATAGTTTGACGCTTTCGTGGTAAAATCTGTGTCTTCAGTAGTATGAGAATTCAGAAATAAGTTCAGTGTAGCAGATAAATCTTTTATATCCTGAATGCTTATGTAAAAGTACCTTTTATGTCCTGAATTACTAACAATAATGAAAGATGAAAAACGTCTCTCTTTATTTCAGTTTCATTCATAAAATGAACACAGCAGAGTTTAAGAGTGCAACGTTCCCAAATGCGGGGCCGAGACATCTGTTAGATGATAGCGTCATGGAGCCCCATGCACCATCTCGAGGCCAAGCCGAAAGTTCTACTCTTTCTAGTGGAATATCAATAGGTGAGAAATATTTCTCTGAGGAGGGTTCCATCTTATAGAACATGAGATTTTCAACAAAGCTTAGCTGGAAACAGGCGATTAACTGTACCACAAATAGAGAAAATTTAATAAAAGTGTCTTAGTCATTTAGTGCTGCTCCAACAGAAATACCACAAGTGGAAGGCTTTACAAAGAGAAATTTATTCTCTCACAGTCCAGTAGGCTACAAGTCCAAATTCAGGGCATCAGCTCCAGGGGAACGCTTTCTGCATCGGCTCCGGAGGAAAGTCTGTATCATCAGTCTGCCTTTGGTCTGGGAGCTTCTCTGCACAGGAACCTCAGGTCCAAAGGACGCCCTCTGCTCCCAGCACTGCTTTCTTGGTGGTATGAGGTTCCCATGTGTCTCTGCTCACTTCTCTCTTTTATATCTCAAAAGAGATTGCATTAAGACACTAATCTTGTCAACCTCATCAGTATAACTTCATCACAGTGATAGAATTTATAACACATGAGGAGATCACATATAATCTCATCATAGTGGTAGAGTTTACAACACATAAATAAATCACATCAGATAACACAATCATACAATACCAGGAATCATGACCTAGCCAATGTGCTACACACGTTTTTGGGGGGACACAATTCAATCCATGACAAAAAGCAAAGTAGCAGTTAGATACAGGGTCATTTTACTCATAGCTGCTGATACTGGTAAATCACGATGGTTTAAGAAGTGCTTGATATTTTTGAGTCCAGAAAGGGAGGCACTTGAGGAATGATGGGAAAAGAACATAGACTGGTTGAATCGGTTAACGGCATAATTTGGATATAGGAATGAGAAAAAGGAATCAAGTATGACCCCATGTTTTTTTGTTTTGTTTTGTTTTTGTTTTAATTAAGCAGCTAGGTAGATGGTAATTCTGTTTACCAAGGTAGAAAAGACTGGAAGAGTGTTCATTTGGGGCAGGTGAAGAGTGGCAAAGCCCTGACTGGAGTAGATTTGAAAACGAGGGGTGAGGAATAGAGAAGCTGCTGTGAAGGAGGGCAGAAAATTGGGCCATATAAGGGATGTGAGGTTGAGAGAGGGGTTTGTTTGATTTTACTTCTTAAACCTCTGTTTTCTGAAATTTTCTAGATGAACATTATTTAGAAAATATCCATACAATGCTATTTTTATTTTTAAAAAGAAGTAAAGGAGAAAACTATATTCCTCTGTGATTAAGTTCCAGATTGCTCAGGGGCTAAGCCTACTAAAGTTAGTTAATGTAATCATCTCAATATTGGCGAACAGTCAATAGATGCAAAAGATTAATTTCCCTGAAAGTATCGATCCCTTCATCCTTGAGAGTTGCAAACCCTGAAAATGAAATTGCTTTAGAGATCTTCAGCCTCATTCAGCAGTTGTTTATTCTGATGTTCCCCTTTTTATAAATGCAAATGATTAACTGATGACAACAAAATTTTTAAGAAGTGTTACCTGAAATACCTCTCCATCAATGTAGTAAATTACCTACATGTAAATATCAACCTCAACCTGAAAAATGTACAGAAAAGAATTTTTCAAGGGAAAGGGAGTACTTTTTTTTTTTCAATTAAAAATTGGTTTTGGAATCAAATCTGTTTCTTAAAGCAGAAAAAAAAGTTTTTTTAATTACTGCTCCCGGTTGAGAACATAATATTTGGCTTTCCCGTGTCATAACTATTGTCTAATGGTAATTATTATCCTTTAGTTTATTTGTGGCTTTTACTCTCCTTAAATGTGCTTTTAGTTACGAGAATATAGTTATCTAGTTATTTCATTGAGTTACAGTCAATGCCTCAGTTTGGAGACCTTTCTCCTTCAGAGCAGGAATAGACTTTTTTAATTTTTGCCTTTGTATTTATTTTCTAGTTATTCTAAGGCCTTTAAGTAGATAAGCAATAAGATTGTTGCATCCTTGTTTGTAAAATTAAGAGAGTTACACATGGGCACTTATTTATCAAGATTTTTGTTTTAAAGCTTTTGACATTTTGAAAAGAGAGTAAGTCTATAACCATAAGATGGTAGTATTAAAACTGTGTTAATACACACATACACACAAATTCTTAAATCACAAAAGTTATTTCCTTAGCTGTAACTTTTACATACAGTATCAACTGCTATGCAGTGGAGGCTTTGAGAAAGCACTGTGGAAAAACTAATCCTTGGGACAGTGGCCTCAGACTTTTTCTAATACGGTATATGTGTCCTAGACAACCTAGAGTCGTCTTGCCTAGCAAAGTAAGCACATCTGCTCTGAGCTCAATGCTCCTGGGAACGCTTATATTTTCTATACATAAGTCATACTAATTATGCTTAAATTCTCAGTCTTCACACATGATACTGCAAATCAAAAGATAATCTACAACCACCACCCCCTACACACACACCACAGAAAATGACTTCAGTGACTGTTAATCAATTCTTCCAAAGATGTTACATAACTAGTATCATTCTGTATAAATAGGAGAGGGGTTAATCCATCACTTATAGTTGTTACCATGGGGCATTAGAATTTGATTCTCTCCTAGAGCCCCAGCAGTAAAACATCTGACAGACAATTCAGCTTGATACGTAAGGGACGTATTAGTCATCTCGGTTTAATTAAGAGCCAGAATTATGTTTACAATAAGTTTTCAAGTCGTTTGAAGCTGTTTTGGACTTTTCCATATTCGTTCCCCTCAATTTTTTCTCCAGCTAATTTAAAACTCTATTTGAAGACCAATTTAACTGATGTTCTGGCCAAAGAGAAAGTTTTTACATTGTTGTAGTGCTGTTTTTGATTTGTTTGTTTTAAGTTAGGGATTCCATCCTCTTCTATCTTGTCTTTAAAGGCAAAGAATTGAATTTCATTATTACATAAAGCTTTTTTTCCTTAGGTCAGAAATGGGTTTTAAAAGGAATAAAAAGGGAAAGAAGATACATGCCACAAACCTGTAAGGATTTCATAATTACATTGATCTTAAACTATGACAGACCTAATAAGGAAACATTTTGTGCTTCTGTGCATTCTCCCATGGTAGAAAAAGTTCTTTATTAACATAATGAGCTTGAGCTGTAAGTAGACATGCAAAAATGTTTTATGCTATTTTCTTGTTATTTTAGGTAGTCTTGTCCACTGTATCCCAATGTATTGCAAAATAGATCTAGCAGCAAGAATATTAGAATGAAGAATTAGTATGTGGCGGTTCACCCACAAAAAATATGGTGGTTATTTTATGAGCACAGTTAGAGATTTATTTTTAAAAATATAAAATCCAAATGGGAAAAATAATTCTGATGTTTAAAATAGAGAATAACTTCTGATTTTAGGTAGCAGTGATGGTTCTGAACTAAGTGAAGAGACCTCATGGCCTGCTTTTGAAAGGTAAGAGAAATTGCCCCTTTAAACTTCTCTGAGTTTATTTTGTCTATCTGAAAGCATATGATAATGTGAATATTAAGAGATAATTTTTATGACGTATCCTTAAGGGACTATTTGTGATTCCTGCTCGTAGCAGAAATTAGAATTTGATCTTTAAGTCTGCAGCTGTAAGTAATAAAAATGATTGATTGAGTCTCATCTATGTACAGTTGTTCAGTGGTTTGACACATAACATATTTGGATTTAGTACATTGTAATTATAATTTTAAAACAATAATAACCGATCATGGTCAACGTAACTGCTTATGTGTTCAAAAGTGTAATTATTTCCCTAAGTTCTCGTTTATTTAAGTCATTTTTTTAAAGACATTTAGTGGAACGGTCAACTTCATTTTCTGCAGCTGCTTCAAGGGCAAAATGACTTAATTTATAAATTATAAGTAAAGTAGCTTGAAGATTGTGTTGTCATAAACTCAGAATGTGCAGAGTGAATAAATTTTTACTTTATAGTTTGTAAGTCTTGCTCCCTTCTCATCTCCCTATTGCTATAAGCTACAAAAGCTGCCATCTGCCTGTAGCAAATAACATATGCTGTATTGAACTTCAAATAGAAGATCTCCCTAAAAACGTAGCCAAACAACACAAATAATTGTAATTTACTACATGTCCATTAGGACTCTTGTATTATCTCTGATTATTTCAGTTCTGCCATTTTCACTTACAAGATACTTGACTCTCGACCCAAATAGTTGCTCTATTATATGTAAACAGAGCAATTAAGTTTCAAAGCAACAAGAATGTCATCTAGATTGAATTTTAAATGCCTTATTAAAACTTAACGGAGTTAATATTTAGTTACTAGTCCCTATCAGTCACTTTAAAATAGAAAACAATTATCCTAACTATATATTTGAATTAGTTAACTTTCTGCAGTTTAATTAGAAAATTAGATCCTTGTTCTTGATGAAACTTCATAAAAATTTCTCACCATTATGTGATTAAGATTTTACTCATAAGCCCTATATTTCAAAGTACTCATCAGTGTTCCCAAGTATTGTTCTCTTTCGATTTTGGGTTTTTTAAAAATTTGTTTTTACATATTGTTTCTCTTCCAAACATTACTTTCAATCTCTTTATTTGGGTTTGCCAGAAATGGAAAAAACACAAGCGTTGCCTCTGGCATGCTGTCTGCGTTTGTACACATTGTCTTAGTTTTTTTCCCCCTAGAAAGAGCGTAATACCATGAGTTGTTGATTATAGAATATTTTGTAATCTTTAGATAAAAGGTGCTGATTAACAAAATTATTTATCGGGTTGCTGGAATTGTATGTGAGTAAGCAGAATGGTGTTGTGTTAAATAATCTGTTCTCATCCCAGCAGGTTACTTCTGAAGACAGTATTTAATGGTGTTATCTTCACATCTCAAAACAATATTTTTCTTGTATGACAAATGTTTTACTTTGCAGACATTTGCAGCTAAAATTCTACTGTACGTGTGCCAAGTTTAAAAATCAGTGGCTCTTGGAAAAATCTTGCAAGCACATAAATCAATGCCGCCCAGCAAGGTTCAGACATGAAATAATAAAAAGTGAATAAAGAACTAGATTTAAAACACTCTGTGCAGAGTGAACTTGAAAATATTACTCTGACTGTTAAACATGCCAGTTTTTGTTCTTGTTTCCTTGTAAAGAGAGAGACATCAAGTACGTTATGGCGTAAGTTGCTAAAACAGTGGTTTTTGTTTTAAAGATTTATCAACAGTGCTACTTTTGGCTCTTCCCAGGCAAAGAAGTATCGGTGTTTCTGTGTGTGTGTGTTCATTTCCTCTGTTAAGCATCACGTGCCATTTTGGATAAATGTTAACTCATACCATTTTTACCATTTATTGGCTTTGTCAGTTGATGTGGAAATAAAATAGTGCCTATATTTTTTTTACTCAGTTCATCTCTTTTATTAGTTGTCTTTGATTTAATATAAAAGATTGAGAGGAAAATGAAAGTGTTTGGACCACATTAGTTTTAAGTTTGCAGGCCATATTGCTTTTTAGGTGTCTTCATAGGGACATACAGTAAAAACAAATTATATAAATCAGGCATTATATTTAAACTGGAACCTAAAAAGTGGAATAGAAGGAAAACAATTTTTGAAGTGTTTTTCAGGTTTGGGTATTATTTGGTATTATTGTTTTTGCAGATTTGCTAAGGTAAATGTACGTATAAATGTATGGTGTGTACTAGATACCTAAGTATTTCTAGAGTAAATAGTAGAAGAAGAAAAAATTGAAATCTATGCTGCATGCTCTAAGAAAGAGGCGCAATCACATGCTATCCTTTTGTAAGATTTACAAAGCTATATTACACGAAGAACTATTACACTGTTCTAGCTACTGATGATGATTGTGTGAATAAAAGTACATGTAATTACATACAATTTATAATGGAATCCAACAGGAACAGATTATACCATTCTCTCGGCCCGGTGACAAGAGTGGCACGAAATGGCTATCGAAGCCACATGAAGGCCAGCAGGTACAATCCCCCTGCATTCAGGGGCCACAGAACTCCCCTCTGGTGTTGGTGATTGGCTTTCATGGGTGCGGTCTGACATTACTTCTGTTCTTTTCCAACTTATCGGTTTAAAAACTAAACAAAATGCCCAGGAAAACATGCTTTCCAAAATTTAATGTAGAGATAAATTTGAACTATTCTTTCTGATCCACAGAGCTAATTGCTAAAACTTGCATCCTTATGTCAGATTTTTCAAATGCTTCCAAGTTGATAGCTTTTTAACTGTGTGGGTGTTTCTAATTCCGCTAGTTTTGGGAAGAGCAATACAAAAATCTGCTTGTTACTCATGAGGCTGCAATCAAAGCATTTTCTTTGCTAATCTACATTTATTATGTGTTTTTAATATGTGTCTGATAAACAGCAGGTCTTGAATCTAGACAAGTCTATTTCATGAAATAATGTTTGTGCATTTAAACTCATGTTCATTGAATTGTTCATTCAGTCTAATTAAACCAGGTTTCTTTCTGCACTATGTTAGCTGTGGAAGAACAAAAGGATAGTGGATTGATTCAGGGTGTAATTAACCAGTTCATAATACAACCAGATAGCAAACTTTGGAAGTGAGCTTTATGTCACTTTGATGGTATCTAATCTCCTTTTGTGTACCTCCCTGTATGTAAGTAGCTCTAGCATGAAATTTCTAGTGGTGTTTAGGCTTTAAGTCACTTTGAAGACACCTAAATACATATTGGGAGTCCTGGTGGCGCGGTGGTTAAAAGATCAGCTGCTAATCAAAAGGTCAGCAGTTCAAATCCACCAGCCGCTCCTTGGAACCCTATGGGGCAGCTCCACTGTGTCCTATAGGGTCACTATGAGTCAAAATTGGCTCGACAGCAATGGGTTTTTAACGTACATAAAGGGATAAACTGGTAAACTTCATTTTTCTTCGCTGTTGTAGGAATTCTGCAGTTCATGTATCACCAGAAAATAATCTGTGTTTAACACTGTGTATATTTTAGTTGACACGTGTAGAAATCATTCTTGTTTTACATATAGGACCTTAAATGAGCTGTAGAAAGATATTAAAATGTTTGGTTATTGTGTGAGATTTTCTTAAGATGTGTGAAAAGGAAATCTTGACTTTTGGACTTACTCTTTTCTTGGAGAGCTGATAAGTCTATAATCAATCACTTACGTATTAGATGTCATTAAAATTTATTGCAGAAAGCCAAGCTTTTTAATCTTTTGTTACTGCTTTTTGTTATTTTTTCAGCGATTTTAGAATTAAGCATGTTTTTTTCCTTTTTCTTTTTTTGAGCTTGTGCTATTTTTATTTTCGATTTTTTATACTTAAATGCTTTTAACAATTAGAATCCTCATCTTTCCTTACCAGGACTGAAAATTTCTAATAGGAAAAAAGGTTTCAACAATGATGCAGTCTGGCATGTTAAGAAGAGGAAAAAAACTTAAGTTCTTAATTTAATCTTTACTAAAGTGAATTACTCTATTCTTTCTAAATTATGCTTGTTCAAATATGTAATAAAATGTATTCTTTTAGCCATCTGCTGACTTTAATCACCTCCTAATAAACTTTTGTGACAGCTTATAAATTTCAGATCAGTAAACCATTCTAATTATCAGTGTCTTCTCAAGTCTGAATAAAGTAACAGTTTTAAAATGAAGAATAATTACATTTTATTTAAGTACTTACTTGATGACTACTATAGATAAAAGTCCTTATATGTTCTTTTCTTTGTTTCATTATTTATAGTTCTGCAGAATCAGAAGATTTGGCAGTACATTTATATCCAGGAGCTGTTACTATTCAAGGTGTTCTCAGGAGAAAAACTTTGTTAAAAGAAGGCAAAAAGCCTACAGTAAGATTTTATTATATTATAACACACTTCCAAAAAAATATATGAGTGTATAAGACCCGTTGCTGTTGAGTTGATTCCAACTCATAGCAACCCTGTAGGACAGAGCAGAACTGCCCCAGAGGGTTTCCAAGGCTGTAAATCTTGATGGAAGCAGACTGCCACATCTTTCTCCTGTGGACTGACTGACTGGTGGGTTCAAACCACTGACATTTTGGTAAGCAGCCGAGCGCTTAACCACAGCATCACAGGGCTTCTTTATAAATGCATAGAACCCTTAAAAAAAAAAAATACCCTAAGACAATTGAAATAAAACTGGAGTAGATTTGAAATAATTTAAAATACACATTCGCCTCTTAAAGTGTTATTATACCTGCCATGCAAATTTCTACTAAATCATATATTAAGGTACTGCTGTACTTCTCCCCCTAACATAGTTTATACAAAACTGTTTCTTAGAGAGCCCTGAAAGTATATACTGTTAAGAAGTATTTTAGTGGTAACTTTTGGAGAAATAGAGAATGGAGAATAACAACCCTACAAGATGGAATTGGACCAATTTTGTTTTGTCAGTCTTAAGTTTTTTTTAAATCTCTCTGAATGCAGGGGAAAGATGTGGCAGTCTGCTCCCGTAAAGATTTACAGCCTTAGAAACCCTTTGGAGTCACTATGAGTCAGAATCAACTCGATGGCAGTGGGGTTTTTTTTTGTTTTTTGTTTTTTGTTTTTTGTTTTTTTTTTTTTTGGTTTTTAATGTAGGCAGGTCCCTGGGTGGCTCAAATGGTTTGCACTCCACCACTAACTTCAAGGTTGTGGTTCAGACCCGCCCAGTGGCCTGCAGAAGAAAGGCTTAGCAAGCTGCTTCCATAAAAGATTACAGCCAGGAAAACCTATGGAGCACTTGTACTCTGTAACATATGGGGTTGCCATGAGTCGGAATCGACTCTGTGACGATAGGTTTGGTTTTAGTTTTTGGTAATGTAGATTTTCTTTACTACGTAAAATAGAACCCAATATAGAATGTCCTCCAAACCATAACTATATTTAAAAAAAAAAAAAAAAAGTTTAGTGGAACAAAGCTTTTCATATCTAGCACAAAAATACATTCTTTTCCAATACCGGTACAGTAATCTGACTACTAAAGAAAGAAAAGGGTTTTATTTTGGGTTTTTTTTCTTTTCCTCAGATAATGTTATAGTTTTATCTAATTTGGAATAGGAGCCCTGGTGGCACAGTGATTAAGTGCTCATCTGCTAACCAAAAGGTCAGCGGTTCAAACCCACCAGCTGCTCCACAGGAGAAAGATGTGGCTTTCCGTAAAGATTTACAGCCTTGGAAACCCTGGGGCAGTTCTACTCTGTCCTGTAGGATCACTATGAGTCAGAATCAGCTCAATGGCAACGAGTTTTTTTGGTTTTGATTTGGAGTATAAAAACTTTTACTTATACCTACACATAAAGTTTTTGAACATATAAGGGCTTCTTAAAATATAAAAATGATTTACATCTAAGTAATCTGATTTTCCTGTTTACATTACAAACCACAGCCACATACAATCAAGAGACTACACTAGCCAGCTAGTAGCAGGTGAACTAAGAGTAGCATATCAGTTGAGGCATTACCGTACCTCTTGTGTGCCAGATGCTAGAAACAGACAGTAAATAAGATGAGACAAAGTACCGACCTCATGGAGTTTACTTTCCAATGAAGAGAAATAGAGAACAAGCCCTTAAATAAGGTAATGGGATGGAGAGTAATGGAGTGAAGAGGGATGCCACCATTGTGGATCATAGAAGCTGAGATGTAAATGAGGAGGATGAGTTAGCCATGCAAGCATTTCAGGGAAGAGTGTCAAAACAGAAGTAGTGCAAAAGCCGGAGATGGACATGTTCAAGAAACAAGAAGGCTTGTGTAGTTAAAGCATTGAAAGTAGAGGATATGAAGGAGATGAAATCAGAGAGAAAGGCTAGGTTTGCTTGATGATGCATTAGATGTGATATATGAGGGAAATATATGAGTGGAAATGATGATAACCTTTGGGGTTTTGGAAGTGAACCAGGTAGATGTTGGGGATATTTATTGAAATAGTGAAAGATTTTTTTGCATTGTTGTTGAGGGAGTAAGTCTTGGCCAGGTTCACTTTGATAAGCTTATTAGACATTCAAATGGATGTGTCAGTTTGGCTCTTGAAAGAATACAGTTCAAGAGTTGAGCAGAGAGGTGAGGTCAGAGATAAGAGAGTCATTATCATACGGGTAGTAGTTGAAGCTGGGACTGGATGAGATCTCTGAAGAAAAGTGTAGCTGGGGAAGAAAAGAGGGCTGAGGCTAGAACTCTGTAGCGTGTAAAGGCCTGTTACAAGAAGAATTTAGAGGAAAAATAAAGAACTGTTATCACAGACGTCTAGCAGGTAAGTATTTCAAGAAGGAAGGAGTGGCCAGCTATGTCAGATGCTCCTGAGAACTTGCATATGATGAGGACAGAGGACCGTTGGCTTTGGTAAAGGACAGTTGTTCATCACCTGGACAATAGCAATTTCAGCTCGAAAGCCTGAATGAAGTAAGTTGAGAAAATGGGCAAAATAGAAGTAGAATCAGGAATTAGAAGTTGTGCTACAAAAAGAGCAGAAAAATTGGATGGTGTCTACGGAGTGAGCTGATGGCTCAAGGGAGGGATTTTTTTTAAATGGGAGTAATATTAACGTTCAATTGTGTAATGATAGTAGAGGGAGAGAAATTGAGATGCAGTGGAGAGAGGAGTTAATTGCAAAAGCAGATTCCTTGAGAAAGTTAGAAATAGTAGGAATCTAAGGCATAAAAGGAGAGTTTGAGTTTGTCCTTGTATAGAAGCAGGATTAACTATTCTGTTATAGCAGTAAGGAAGGTTGAGTATGTGGGCCTACAGACAGGTAGATAGATGGAATTGGTACTGAGAGGATGAGGTAGTACTCATCAAATTGCATACCTGGGAAGTATACAATGAGATCATTGTGGAGGGCAGGGTATTCGAAATTTGAAGGTACAGGAGGTGTGAAATAATTGAGGAGGGGAGGGAGATGGAGGGAGAGAAAGGGAGGATTGGGTAAAAGGAAAGTACTTTGATAATTTCCATTTGAGATTGGTAATCATAATTTTATCAGTCAGCCCAATTGTGTGATTTCTCTAGCAGTTTTCAGCTACAGTTATGTGGTACCAAGTAATCAGATGGTTAGATTTAACTAGGATTAGGGCTTTATCAGGAGAGAGAGACAAGGGGATTAGAGTATTTGGAAGAGAGTGGTTATAGTGTTGGACCATGGAATATAGATACAAAGAAAAGGGAGGGAGAACACAGGGTTAGGGTGGAAAATAATAAATAACATTAAAAAGTGATAGAGTTCTTGATAAGATCAAAAATTATCTGAGTGAAGGTACTAGAGTATATTAGCTGGAAGTGATAATCAGGAATATTATCACTTCCAGCTAATATAATTAGATTTCAGAAGTCTAAGGTTTAACCAAGGAGCCCTGGTGGCACAGTGGTAAAGCACTTGGCTGCTAACCCAAAGGTCAGCAGTTCGAACTCAGCAGCTGCTCCACAGGAGAAAGATGGGGCAGTCTGCTTCTGTAAAGATAACAGCATTAGAAACCCTATGGGGCAGCTTTACACTGTCACATGGGTCACTGGGAGTTGAAGTCAATTCGATGGTAATGGGTAAAGTTAGACCATTGGATGGCTAAAGTGGAGTCGGGCAAGGTCATTGGCACTAAGACGGTAAAGAAACTGAGAGGCCAGTAGCATTTTATTAGTATATTCATGTGTTTGTCTTCTGCAGGTAGCATCTTGGACAAAATATTGGGCAGCTTTGTGTGGGACGCAACTTTTTTACTATGCTGCCAAATCTTTAAAGGCTACAGAAAGAAAACATGTAAGTGTTCCACCTCTAAGTCGTTAGCATATTTTCACAGCCTCTTCATGGCTGTAAAGAAAGTAGTCCTAATAAGATGTGAGTTTGTGGGAAGGGAGGAGGGGGTTGCTTTGTTTTCATATTCTAATCCAATAGTACTTACACCTATTTCTTGTATGAATAGTTGATGGTATTATTTTTAGTAAGGCCATTCCAAGGAAGGAAACCTAATTTTTCCTTTTTTTTGAAGTTTCTTTTTTGAATGCTGTTTTTCCCCTGCAGATGCCAAAACCGCACATTCCAAATATCTATGGTGACATCAAAGCCTTCCTTAACATGGGTTTCTGGTTCAGAACATGGCTCAAAACTATTGCCTTGGGGTGTCAGTTTCTAATCTATAAAATATGAAAATTTGGGGCCAGCATCTAAAGTTGCTTTCCACCTCAAACTCTGATTCAGTGATTTTCCCAACGATGAAGAGGAATGAGCAATCACGATAGTTACTGTAGTCAGCTTTCTTGTGCTTCATATTCATGAAAAGCAGCTTCTCAGAACTCTTCTCCAAATGTAGAATCTTCTAGATCTCTTATGTGCTGTTTTGTTTTTATATATACCAGTGATACAGTCTTTGAAAGGAAGAATAATTTGTTTCCATGTTGCATAAATAAAACCCTTTTGAGAGGAATGTTATTTCTAAATCATGTATTTTGGGGGAAATATTTAAGTGGTTTAAGATTTACTGAGGAAGTGTAAGCCACTAAAGAAAAAGTAAGTCCTTTTTCTACTTTCACATTACCCACATGACACTGCATAATTCAGAGAAACTCTTCATTTCTTTAATCAAACCAAAGGTACAGAAGAGGACATTGTTGGTTTAAATGAATGTGGAAAGTGCCATAGGTAACACTAAAATTGTCAAATCTTACCAGATACTAGCATCCCCTTCCTTCTCACAGCCTATCACTGTCCTGAATTTCACCTTAATCGTTGCTTTTTTCCCCTCCTCTGAAGTTTTACCATATGTTTCCTTAAACATTTTTCAACTGTTTTTGAATGGAATCTAATATATTCTCAAGCACTGGCTTTTTTGCTCACTGTTTATATAGATAGCTCTTTCATTGAGGCAAAGGACAGACTGCTCATGGGGATCCATCCATTCTGGGAATATTTATTTTTTGTATTCTAGCCAAATTGACTATAAGGCCCACATATGCAACAAAGTTACACAGATTAGTTTCGCTGCAACATTTTGCAGAGTAATTGCCTCTGCTTGGGACTACTGCAGGAGCCCTGGTGGTACAATGGTTAAGCGCTCTACTGCTAACCGAAAGATCAGCGGTTTGAACCCACCAGCAGCACCTCAGGAGAAAAGACCTGGTGATTAGCTTCCATCAAGACTACAGCCTAGGAGACCCTATGGAGCAGTTCTACTCCGTCACATAGGGTCGCTGTGAGTCAAAATTGACTCGATGGCACACAGCAAAGAAAACAGTACTGGGAAAAAAGGTTGATATATTAAATCTCCTGTCTTCAAATATAAAGCAACTAATTTTTCATATTGCCACTTTGAGATACTTGTTGACTAGATTTCACTTAGTCTACAACTATAAAGAAATAGTTACTCAAAATTTTTTTCATTTTTTCCTAGCTTTAATTACAAAGAGGCCAAATTAGAGAAGTTATAACTCAGTTTGTCATCTAAAGCATATGTTAGATAACTCTTTGTGCTTGACATTGCTATGATAGATAATTACTAACATATTATGATAGTTTTGGTTTTTAATTATATGAGACTTGCTGATAAATAATATGTATTAAATATTTAGAAATTAGAGCATAGTAGATCATAAAGAAATCAGATCGTAAGTGCCAAGGAAATGGACTGTACATCTTATCTTCTAGTTAAAGCTGTAAAGATTAAAGAAGGAATTACAAGAACAGAATAGAGGGTATAGAAACAGGTCCATGTTTGTATTTACTGTCAGCCTAGAGGTAGAAGAGATATGGCACAGAACTAAAAACCAATGAAGGAAAAAAAAAAACTGTTCCAAGTTAAAATAGAAACAAGTTGGAAGAAAAGATTTGCTATATACAAGCAGCAGGTAAAGGATTAAAATCTATTATATAAACACAGCCCCACCTGTGTTATGTTCTTGCCAAAATATTTAACCTGAATCTGATCATGAGGATACAACCAAATCCAGACTGTAAGACATTCTGCAGACAGCTGGCATGAATTTCTAAAAATGGCAGGGTAGAGGTTGGGGCTGGCGGGCTCAGGAGGACTGCAGTAGATTAAAAGAGACTAAAGAGTCTTGACAACTAAATGCAGTATATATACCTTGGTTAAATCCTAGAGCTAAATTAAAAAAAAATAAATAAAAAGGTCACCTTTGGGACAATGGGGAAATTTTAATATGTTCTTTATATGATTCTATGAGATTTCTTTTGTGTGGTGATTACATTATGGTTACGCAGAAATATATTGTTGTTCTTGGGAGATCTGTACTGAAGTATTTAAGATTCAGTGTCCCGTCTGCAACTTAAATTTAAATGTTCAGAGAGATCGAACAAATGTGCCAAAAATATAGATGAAGGGTATTTGGGTAATCATTGTAGTAGTCTTTCAACTTCTCTTTACTTTGAACTTTTTCAAAATAAAAAGTTAGAGGAGGAAAAAAAATCATTAATGAAACTGTACCTATACATATATACGTATGTATTAATGTGGGAGTAGGAGGAGTCTGGAGGCTTATATACATGTATTTAATTATTCTGTAAAGTATACTTTTTTTTCGTTTAACCTATGCGGAGCTAAGTAGGCTTGGGAAGGTGGAGTGGCTGGGGAGAATAAGGACTATTTTCTTGTGTCTGTATTTTTTTTATGTTTTAAAACAAAAGCATATTCACTGTAAAATAATTTTTAATGGAAGCATATTCACTGTAAAAAGATTTTTACAGATATGTTTGAACATGTCACTGCATGTTCATGAGTGCCTGATAGGTATTGAATAAAATTGTTTGATTAGATTTTAAAAACCAAGCTCACACCTGAAAAAGAAATCTGTAACATGTAGACAAGACCTTCATGACTCAGTAAGAATAAAACAGATTAGAAAAAAGGAAAAGGGAGAAAATTGAAGATGAAATAAATGGTTAATAACATAAAAAGATGACAGCTAACCTCACTAGTTGTCAAAATATGCAGATTAAAGAATATACTTTTTTTTTTTGCCTTTACAGAAATTCCAAAGGTTGATAATGCAGCAGTTGCTGTGGTGTAGGCAAACATAGACTCATGCACAGTTAGCAGAAATTGGTTTTGAGACGGGCAATTCTAGTCAATACTTCACTTAGTGACCATCGATTCCTCATCTGAGAGTCTTTGCTACAGAAATCCTTGAACAAAATGCACAAAGATATCTGTAGAAGTACATGTATTTCTGTAATGTTTATAATAGCAAAAAGCAGGAAACAACCAAAATACTTACCAATGAGGAAATAGTTACTGATAGGTGAAAACCACAAGTCAGCATATAACTATAACCCAGTTTACATACATAACCAAAAAGTCTGTGGTGCAAATGCCTAGAAAAAGGTTTAGAGGATTATACCCCAAACAATGGTTAACTCTGAGATTGAGATGAGATTCAACAGGTGGTCAGGGGACATTCGTACTCTTTATATACTTCGTCTGTCTCTATGAAGGCATTTACATTGCTTGAGCTACTTTTTTTTTTTAATTGAAATAATAAGTAATTGAGGCAGAGGTTTTTGAGAGTAGGAAAGACTGTTAGAAAATCGTGCTATCCACTTTGAAATAAATTCTGAGCCATGACGTCAGCAGTTCTCTGGTATTCCCGATTTTATTCTTCATAGTCTTGAAGCTTATTTTCTTCACTTTTCATTTTTGTAGTACTATGTTGTTACTAATAACGTGCAGTGTTCATTCTTTTTCCAGTTTTCTTTTAATTGTGAAACATCTTAGTTACTTAGTGCTGCTATAACAGAAATATAAGTGGGTAGCTTTAGCAAACAGAAATTTATTTTCTCACAGTACAAATTCAGGGTGCCATCTTTAGGGGAAGGCTTTCTCTCTATTGCCTCTGAAGGAAGGTCCTTGTCTCTTTTCTGCTTCTGTTCCTCTGTGATCTTCATGTGGCTTGGCATCTTTATCTTCCCCCATCTCTGCTTACTTGCTGCTTGCTTAATCTGCTCTTTTATATCTCAAAAGAGATTGACTTAAGACACATCCTACACTAATACTACCTTATTAGCATAAGAAAGAAAGTCCATTTCCAAATGGGATTATAACCACAGGTACAGGGGTTAGGATTTACAACACATATTTTGGGGGGGGGACACAGTTCAATCCATGCAGTATCATACACATAAAAGAAGATATGTAGTGTACATGCACATTTTAAAGAATAATAAATAAAACGAACACGTATACACCACTCTCCTCTGGGCATGAGAAATAGAACATTGCCATAACCATCAAATTCTTCTCAGATAACATCCCCTTCCCTCCTTAACCACCACACCCACAACTCATCACTGTCCTGAATTTCACAGTAATCATTGCCTTGTTTTCTTTCAGGGTTTTACCCTGAACAATACGTTGTTTCATTTTTTAACTGTACCTGATTGGAATCCCATATATATTCTTAAGCACTAGCATTTTTGCTTAATATTAGATTGTTAAAATTCATGTGTATTGACGCATATAGCTGTCACTCCTTTTTATAACTGAATAGTCTTCCATTTTATGAATGTACCATATCTACTGTTGATGAATATTTGAATGGTTCCTACTTTTGTGCTATTTCTAACAATGCTGCTATGAATATTTTTGTGTACATTCTCTAGATTATATACCTAGGAGTACAACTGTTTTTTCTTCCATGTTTATTGGTCATTCATGTTTCTTCTGTGAAATGCCTTTATACGTATTTTGCTTATTCTATTTGGTTGCTTATTCTTCTCTTCAATGGTGTGTTTTTCTTGCTAATTGGTAAAAGTTCTTTATATATTCTGGATACTAACCTATTACCAGTTTATGTGTTACACATACCTTCTTCCAGTTTATTAGACTTGTCTTTTCATTCTCTTTGTGGTGTCTTTTAATAAAAAGTTCTTAATCTTAAAATAATAAAATCTTTCTTTTCCTTTATGGTTAATACGTTCTGGGTCATTGTTATGGATTGCATTGTGCCCCCCGCCCCAAAAAAATGTGTGTCAACTTGTCTAGGCCATGATTCCCAGTATTATGTGATTGTCCACCATTTTCTCATCTGATGTGATTTTCCTATGTGTTGTGAGTCCTACCTCTATGATGAGGCAGGATTAGAGACAGTTATGTTAATGAGGCAGGACTCAATCTACAAGATTAGGTTGTGTTTTAGGTCATTCTCTTTTGAGATATAGAGAGAAGCAAGCAGAGAGATGAGACGTGGGAACCTCATACCACCAAGAAACAAGAGCCAGGAGAATAGCACATCCTTTGGACCCGGGGTCCCTGCATTGAGAAGTTCCTCAACCAGGGGAGTATTGATGACAAGGACCTTCCCCCTGAGCTAACAGAGAAAGAAAGCCTTCCCCTGGAGCTGGCACCCTGAATTCGACTTCTCGTCTACTAGACTGTGAGAGAATAAATTTCTGTTTGTTAAAGCCATCCACTTATGGTATTTCTGTTATAGCAGCACTAGATAACTAAAACAGTCATGTTTTTTAAAAAAAAAAAATCCTTCTCTAACTTGAAATCATTTAAGATATTCTCCTATATTAACTATTAATAGTTTTGCATTTTGATTTAAAGTCATTGATCCATCTGTTATCAGGTGTGGGTGTGTGTGTGTGTGCGTGCATATAATTAATTACTGAACAGTTCATCCTTCCTTCATTGGTCTGTACAGCCTGCTCTTGTCATAGCGGTTTTACATCTATGTGCGTGGGTTCCTTTTTAGACTTCTCTTGCTTTGCCGGTCTGTCTCTCTCCCAGTAGCTCATAGTCTCATTATAGTAGCTTTATAGTCTTGATGTGTAGCAGGCCAAGTCCTGCCTAATTCTTCTTCAGGAGTGTCTTAGCTATTCTTGGTTCTTTGATCTTCTAAGATTCCACCTAAAACTCTGTTAGAATTTGTATAGAAATGACACTTTTTGTAGATCAGTTAGGGAGAATTGACATCTTTACCACATTGAGCCTTTTTCTTCATTTCATGATATTTCTCCATTGATTTAGATCTTTTCTAATGTCTTTTAACTAAGGGTTATACTTTTCTGTATGCTTTGTTTTTAACATTACAAAGAATGAGAATTCCAGAACACCTCACTGTGCTTGTGCAGAACCTGTACATGGGTCAAGAAGCAGTTGTTTGATTAGAACAAGGGGCTAATGCGTAGTTCCAAATAGGAAGAGATGTGCGGCAGGGTTGTATCCTTTCACCTTACCTGTTCACTTTGTATACTGAACAAATAATTAAAGAAGCCAGCCTATATGAGAAGAACGTGGCATCATGATTGGTGGAAGACTCGTTAACAACCTATGATATGCAGATAACCTTTGTTGCCGAAAATGAAGATGACTTGAAGCCCTTACTAATGAAGGTCAAAGACTACAGCCTTCAGTATGAAGTATGTCTGACTGTGAAGAAAACAAATATCCTCACAACTGGACCAATAAACATCATCATGATAAATGGAGAAAAAAATTGAAGTTGTTGACATTTTCATTCTACTTGGATCCACAGTCAGTGTCCATGGAAGCAGCAGTCAAGAAATCAAATGATGTTTTGCATTGGACAAATCTGCTGCAAAAGACCTCTTTAAAGATTTAAAAAGAAAAAACATTGCTTGATGACTAAGATACACCTGGCCCAAGCTGTGGTCTTTTTCAGGCATATGCAGGTAAAGTCTGGACGGTGAAAAAGAAAGACAGAAGAACTGATGCGTTCAAGTTGTGGTGTTGGCAAAGAATATTGAATACACTGTGACCTGTCCAAATAAGAAACAAATCAGTCTTGGAAGAAATGCTACTAGAGTACTTCTTAGAAGCAAGGATGGCAAGACTTTGCTCACTTACTTTGGACACGTCGTCAGGAAAGACTAGTCTCTAGAAAAGGATGTCATTTTTGGTAGAGGGTCAGCAAAATCGAAGGAAACCCTCAGTGATATGGATCTGACACAATAGCCAGAACAATGGACTCAAACATACCAACAATCATGAGACAATGTTTTGTTCTATTAATAAAGTTGCTATGAGTCAAAGCCAAACTCAATGGCAGTTAACACCACGTCTTTTGTTACACATATTCCTCGGTACCTTTTTTTTTTGTAATTCACTTTTATATTTATAGTGTATAGAATTAGAATTGACTTTTATATTAATTTTGTTCCAGCAATCTTGTTAATCTTTCTTATTAATCTAGTAGATTTTGGTGAATTTTCTGTGTAGGTATTAATATCATCTGTGAGTAATGGCAGTTTTATTTCTGCCTCACCTTTATATCTTGTGTTGTTGTTGAGCTGACTAGGTCTTCCAATTCAGTGTTGAATGGAAGTAGCAATTGTGGGCATCCTTGTCTTGATGCTGATTTTGAAATGTTTTTAGCATTTTACGCTTGAGTGTATTTACTGCAGGGCTTTTCTGTTTTATTTCGGTTTTTGTATGGATTTGGGTTTTTGTTTTGTTGTTTTGGTAGATATTCCTTATTAAGGAAGTTCCCTTCTATTTTTACTTGGTTAAGTTCTTATCACAAACATGCTTTACACTTTAGCAAAATTTTTTATCTTATCGAGTTGATCATATGTTTTTCTCTCCTTTAATCTATGAATATGGTGATTTTATTCAGTGATCTGTGGTTTATTTTAAGATGTCAACCCTATTAAAATGTGTGTTTCCTGTGAAGGGGAGGTAGCACAGTAACTTAGAAAAAAATATGTAGATGAATTTATCAGATTCACTGAAAGATTGTGCTCTTTAGGAATGAAGAATAGGATGGTTAGGTTTTGATGACGAGATAAGGCTAGGAAAGTTCTGGAAAATAAGAGATTATCTAAAGAGGGCCTGCCTAGATAGAATTTAGTAGTAAAAGGCCCTGAGCTGACTTGGACCAGCATGAAGTCACAAATCTCATCTCTCATTAGGAGGAACTGAAAAAGAAACTGCCTAACACTTAATTTTTGCTTAGTATGAGCCATAGATGTTTTGTTTCCATTAATTATCTTTTTCTCCTCTCAGTTCAAATCAACATCAAATAAGAACGTATCTGTGGTAGGATGGATGGTGATGATGGCTGATGACCCAGAACATCCAGATCTCTTTTTGCTGACTGACTCTGAAAAAGGTGAATTGTTAGAATAACTAGGGTTGAAGGTACTGCTTATACATAACTTCTGATAAGCCAAAACCTAGTTTAACTAGAATACTCTACAGGGAGAGTGTTTGTGTAGTTTTGTCTACTGGGAAAATATGTCACATAATGTGTTTTAATGATACCTTAAATTCTTTAGAGCTTATTTTCTTTGTTACATGGTATAAACTTGAAAATTAAAGGCCCAGATAATCCCTTGAGAGCTAACCAAAAGAGGGGGAGAGAGAGGAAAGGAGGGACAGAGGGAGAGAGAAAGAAAATTAACTTGACACTCTGTAGGCCACTGTTATTTTAAAACCTCAGAGATTTGGCATATATGTAGTACTCTTTCATTTATACCCTGAAATATAATAATATTCTTTACGTTCTGAATGTAGCAGAAATTTTTCTTTAAATGGTTTTCATTCAGTTACTTTCAATTAAATTGGTTATTTGACGTAAATCACTTTCCAAATAAGTGTAATTCCGATACTTTACATACAGTATATATAGACATTTATGAATTAAATTATTGGCTGTTGACCACTGGAGTTTGTTTGTAAAGTAGATGAGAGAAGTTGGAGGGTTGGCTGTGTACAATCAAATCATACCTTCTGACCCCACCTGAGCCTGTGGTGAATACCTGAGACAGTCCACCAGAAAAGATCCTTAAGCAGTTGCTACTGTTCCTTCATAACAACTGCCAGCTGTTGAGAAGCACCACAAAGGAAGCCAGAAAGGAAATTCTTTCATATCTGCCCGGAATCTTCCATGCCAGCAAGTCCAACTCATAACTGAAATGAAGTGTTAATACTTTTTGTTGACTTTACAACTGTATTTTCGTCTCTGTTTATTCAAATGCTATTTTGTATTCTGCTTTTAGGAAAATAAGTAAAGACTTAAGTAAGCAAGTATGTTGGATACAGAAGAAAAAAAAAAAATGCCAGAAGTGTCTTGTTTTGAGATTAAAGAAATTGATTTATAGATTAAGGACTCTATTCTCTACGTTCTGAATTTGAAGCCCCAACCCTCCAAAATCCCAAGGGCATTCTTAATAAAGTTACATTTTAAAATGATAGATCATTTTCATTGAATTTAATTAACAAATTATGTGGCCAGCTTAATTGTAGATACAGTATTCCTTTTATTCAGATTGACCTAATGTCTGCATCTGAGTTCAGTAAGCAAAATAATTATTACTTAGATAATTAAACATTTAGGGAAGAAAAAAAACAATTGCAAGGAATTTAGGTCAGTAAAAAAATAATAATAAAGCTTTGAACTCAGAGCAGCCTATATAGTACATGAATTCTTTCTTTTCTCAGTTTATTACCTTCTCACCTTAATACATATAATTATATATAGTATGCTTATCATGTGTCTCTTGAATTAGAGGCAGTATAAACAAACAAACAAAAATCCAAACCCATTGCCATCAGTCGATTCCGACTCATAGCAACCCTACAGGACAGAGTAGAACTGCCCCCATTGGGTTTCCAAAGCTGTAATCTTTACAGAAGCAGACTGCTACATCTTTCTCCCTTAGCAGCTGGTGGGTTTAGCAGCTGAGCGTTTAACCAGTGCACCACCAGGCTTCTCAGAGGCAATATAGGGGCTATTTCAAAACACACAACACAGATGAATTTCTAATTTTCTACAACAGAAAGGGATACCTTTTTAGATTTTCCCATAGAGCCCTCAGCAGATCTAGAGATTTGTAATAATCTTGACAAATGTAACTAAAGACTAAAAGTGTAGTTGATGTTAGCTCATTAATCCTTGCTGTTGTTGTTGGGTATTTTGAGTTGATTCCAAATCATAGCATATGACAGAGTAGGACTGCCCCATAGGGTTTTCTTACCTGTAATCTTTATGGAAGCAAATCGCCAGGTCTTTCTCCAGTAGAGCCACTGGGTGGGTTCAAACTGCCAGCCTACTCATTAGCAATTGAGCACTTTTAACTGTTTGCACCACTAGGGCTCCTTCATTAATCCTTAATCACGTTAAATAGCTAATATTTAAATGTTAAACATATTAAAGCCTTTTGGCATGTAGAAAGGTAATATTAACACTATTATTTAGATTAATTAAATAGTATTAAGAACTGATGCTTTGCACTCTGATATACACATACAAATCTGGAGGCTCCAAACAATTGTTTTATTTAGATGCATTTTACTCTAAAAAAATGTTTAAGGGGACAAGTAAAATTACTTCTAATTCATAAACAGCAAAACAGTGACTTTCTGGAAAAACGATAGCATGAAGTGTGTATGGAGGACTCTGTATGGGAAAATTGGGAGAAACCTAGTCTTTTTTTATTTTTTTATTTTTTTTTTTTTTGCTCTTTGATAGTTGGCAGGATTATTGTATCACAGTCCTAATTTTTTTTAATCATTTCCACCTTGTTTTTGGTAATTTTAGGAAATTCATACAAGTTTCAAGCTGGCAGTCGGATGAATGCAATGCTGTGGTTTAAACATTTGAGTGCAGCCTGCCAAAGTAACAAACAACAGGTGAGCATTTCTCTCTTGGTCCTAAGAAGAATCCATAATGTTGTAAAAGATTCCAAAGAGAAGTAAGTGGACTACTTTTCTGAATGAACTGGACAAGGGGTGGTGGTTTTATTCTTATTGACAGCAGCCAACAAGACATGAAGTCTGCATTTTAGTGAGGAGCAGGACAATAAACAAGTAAATATACGATTTCAAATAGGAAAAACTATATTAAAAAAAAAGCCAAACCCATTGCCATGAGTCAATTCCGACTCACAGAGGCCCTATAGGACAGTGAAGAACTGCCTTGTAGGGTTCCCAACGAGCAGCTGGCGGATTCGAACTGCTGACATTTTGGTTAGCAGCCGAGCTCTTAACCAGTGCACCACCAGGACGTCAAAAACTATATAAAGAAAATAAAATAGAATAATGTGATACAGAGTGATGGGAGTAGAGACAACTTTCAGTAAATAAGGGTGAGCTGCAAAGATCTCAGTAAGCAGATGGCATTCACCTGAAGGACTAGAAGGAACCAGAGCCATTTATAGGAAGATTAGGGGAATAGAGCTCCTGGAAGAGGGAACAGAGTGGAAAGATGCTGAAGCTGGAACAAGCTAAAGAATACAGCAATATAGGCAGTTTTGGCAGAATGTAGTGAGATGCGGGGGAACGTAGTATCAAAGGAAGTAAACACTAGATGGCTTTTTATTAAAAACTGTTTTGATTCATCTTGTTCTGTTGACAATTTGATGTGCATTCCCATGGTTACAGTGAAACCAAAAACCATTTTGATTTTTTGTTAGTTTTTATTTTACTGAAACAAAGATGGTATAATTTAAAGACTTTCACCTTCAAAGGAAGAGGAACCTCTAGTGTTGTTTTCCCAAAACCCCAGTTGCACAGTTCGAATTGTACTGCAAGTTGTTATGGAAATTTCCATAGACTTTTTGTAGAACCAAGTGTAGTTGAATATATTTGAAAATCATTGGCTTAGGGTATTGATAATACAAAAGCATAAAAGTGTGATCAATAGCTAATATTGAGTAAAATAATACACTCAGTTTATAAAACTTATAAAAGTATTTTTCACCCAGCAATATTATCAGGATCTAAGTTATTACCCTTTTTTTTAAATCGGTGAAAAAACTAAGGCTCAGAGAAACTAAATGACTTGCTTCAGGGTCAGAGACATAAGAAATGGTTAGACTGAGACTCAACTCTGATATCTTTATCCTTTAAATCCATTCTTTCTAAATATCGTTGGAATAGGCTTTGTTCATTCATAATTTTGTTGTTTCATATGTATATTTCAAATACATATGAAAGACTGATAAATACATATGAAAGACCAGCACAGCTTTGGAAAACTGGTATTAAGGAAGGTTGTTTTTAGCAGCCTTCTTAAGGAGATGAAATGCCCTAGAGCACAGATTACCATCCTGCCCTTGTCACGTTAGTGTCTGGGTCAGAATGAAAGAAACAGACCTTGTTTTGCCCGCACTAAGCCTTTCCAGATTCACCTCTGTGCTATACGTTTTCTTTAAATGCAGCGTAAAGTATTAAGTCTCATTAAAAAAGAAGAAAAAACTCGGATTTCAAGATTAATCTAGAGAGTATATGCACACCAGCGTAAGACTCAATTTCTTTTACTCTGTTAGTGGACCTTTTCTGCTAAACAGGTCAACCACATGTCTGTCCATCTTTTTATTTGCTTGCTTGTTTGTTTCTGTACTTTCAAAAATCAGAGTAATCGCAGATTCATAAATGGAAGCAGTGACGTTTGAAAAATTTTAGAAGACACTGTCATCATCTGCCTGTCTGTATCTATTTATGCTTCGTCTCCCTTCACCCTAGAATGCACTGAGAAGACTCAAATGCAACACCTTAAACCACATTCAGGCAACTTAGAAGGAAATGAAACTTTTACTTTATTTAAAGACGAGTTTCTTATGACCAGACCTGAGAATTTATACTTTAATTTAATTTGAGCATTTGTATTTTATTTGATTTATAATTTAGCTATGGTTATATTGTCGAACAGAATTTTTCACTTAGAAACTGATGAGTGTAAGAGATGCATTTTTATGAGTATCGTACGTTTTCAGAGAAAGATTGACGTGTGAGAGCTATTAAACTGTCTTAAAGAATAAGGAAAAGACCAATCACATAATGAATGTCTTTACCAGGGAACTGTGGAAAACTCTTATTAAGGATAAAGAGAGTTTTCTTTAACAAAGTGAAACCTTCTTCAGACATGTGACGAGAGGATTTATTGGCTAATTTTAAAACAAAATTGTTCGTATTTCAAGAGAATTATTATTGAATTTCAGACTTGTAAGAAATCAAATATATTTGATTCCATCTGTAAACCCTAAACTATTATAGAGCCTATTGATTTTCAAGGTTACAAAGTGTCAGATCTGAACTTACATGGTTTTATTCTTTTGTGTTTATATTCATGATGACTTCACTAAGAAATCTTAGTGATGTTATAAAATTATCTGTGCTGGGTTTAGAAAATTTACATGTAGGAATTCAGTGTAACACATATGATGAGAAAAATAAACAATGACAAACATGTTTCTCTGGCATCTCCCCCTCCCAGAGCCATACTTAAGCTTTTCTCATTCATTAATTTGTGCATTGAATAAACATCTACTGAGCCCCTGTGTTAGGCAAGAAAGCTATTATCTCTGCCCCAAAGAGTCTCCTAGCTAAATGTCAATTTACTAGAGAGTATTAACCCAGCTCAGTGATTTTTCTCTCTAAAATTTTCTAGCATATTACATTCATTATTCGTAAATTATTGCAGTGCCATCTATCAAGTTTAGGTCAGAAAGATTTTAACATTTGGATTTGCCTGAATGACAAGGATAGATAAATACTACTTTAAAAAATAGCCATTTAAACAGTCTCGGTTTATAATCCCTCTCTCTTTTAGGTTCCTACAAACTTGATGACTTTTGAGTAAAAGCCTAAGAAAGAAGAAAGGTGAACTATTGCTCCAAAGTGAGAATGGAGGACCTGACAAGAGAGCGCCAGCTATAAACTGATCCTGTGCCAGGAAGGAGCCCAGAGGTTCCAGCTCAGCCTTTGGAGTTCTCAACCAAAAAGCACTAATTTCAGGGAATGAAGTGAGAACAAATTGGGGTTGCAAAACGAACTGCCACGGACCATGCTTCTTATCTCTGAACTGACCTGTGGAAACCACTGCCTTAAAAGAATGAAAGGAGAACCAACATGAAACACCAAACAGTGTGTGTGAACCCTCTGGCGGTGCTGTGCTTGGAATAGATTGTAGCTAGTTTGCATTTCTTTTAACTTTGTACTAATTTTGGAGGGGGGAATCGCCTTTTTTTAGATACACTTTGAAAAGAAGAAACCTACTTCTTATGGGCTACATCAGGAGCTGATTTTGAACCAAGGTGTAAAGATACTCAGACTTTGTAGGGCTCATACCAGCAACCCACCTGAAAAGTTTGTTTCCCTCCCATTGGTCTGCAGCCTCACTCATTGTCTCCCAGCTTGAGTGTGGGAATTAAAAATGTTAATGTGAGTTGTTGGGGTTTGTTTGAGGTTTTGGGTTTTTTCCTTTTTTGTTTTGTTTTGTTTTGTTTTGTTTTGTTTTGTTTTTTGAGGGTTTTTTTGTTTTAGGCAGGAGGAGATTTGTTTTTTAGACACTAAACTTCTGAAATTTTGTACTACACGGGGAACATTGTTTCCTGCAGGAGGCACAAAGGCTGAGTGTTCTTATGCCGGGCACCTGAAAAGTAGACTCCAGAAAACATGGTTGTTTCTAACTGAGTTTAAAGGTTAACCTTCTATATGAATTCATTGTCGGACCACAGATCTGCTCACTAAAGAGAACTGTAATCCCAACCTAAAGTTCTCTGGGAAGATTTTAGACAAAAAATTATATTTTTCGAGTTAGTTGGATTATCCCATCTCTCGGTCACAGGTGATTTTTATCTTCAAGGTGATATATTGACATTTTGTCAGGATATTTTCTTTTACAGTGTTTAATGTGCACAATGCCAGAGTTTTGTTTTTTATTATTCACTTTCATTATTTTTGTTTAGTATGAGATGCAGGATCACATTTTTTTGAAAGAGATTCCGCATATGTATGTATGTCTGTATGTATTTTGTTATAAGACATACAAGATAATTTTTGAAAGGAAAAAGGTGAAAGCTTGAGATTCTGGGAATTTTAAGTTTCAAAACTTTCATTTTTATATAACTTACCCTTTATAACAAAACATTTCCCTGAAAACTTACTACAGGTCCCCGCCATGAAACTCTGTCTTGTCAGTAGTTGAGCATGCAGTTTTGTGAGAGCTCATCTATGCAACAGTGCATTTAATTTCCAAAACAAACATTGAATTACCCAAAAGCAGTGTGAAGGTGTGATGCCTTAGAATTTTAACAAAAAATGGCACTTGAACAAAGGCTATGTGCTGGATGTTATAACCTCATGAGGCATCATAAATTTTTAGCAGTGGCTCAAAGCAAGAAATGTTTTTTGACTGATATCTTCTAATAGATTTCTAATACTTCGGGCCTCACGTAAAAAGAATTTCTCACATTTGTATTCTTAGAGAATTTTGTACTTTTTTATCATTAAGTATTTTGCCCTTGAGTCTATGAAACGTAAATAGAACATATTGCCTACATAATAATTAGCTAAAAATCCATTCAAAGAAAAGTAGAAGAGCTTTAAATGGGTGTTAAGTTCTTAAATTTAGTTTTCTGTTTGGAAAAGATACAAGAGTTCAAATCACACAGAAATACCATTCTTCTGGTTCTGTGGAAAGTGACAGGGGACATGGGCTGGGAGAGGGCAAAAAGTTACCCGTGTTGAATTGTGTCAATTAATGAACTCCCAAGCTTAACCAGCGTTGGGTATATAGAGGGACACCGTCTGCGTAGCCAGCAGTATTACTGTGTAGACCTTGCACATCTTACTTGGTTTTGCATTTTTTGTTAATTCCTTATTTTATTTGTTTCTCTTCAGAAATAAGCGTTTTAACAGTGTATGTGCTTTTAAAAAAATATTGTAGATGCAAACCCTGTGGATTTTTTTTATTATTATTTTGTTTGTCATAAATAAGCTAAAGTAGAAATGTTATAGGTTAAGCATATCTGTGGAGATACGCAACTGGAAGTCAGAGCCTGACATCACACAGTTTTGCCAAAGAGAGAGCACCAAGCTGGAAGATGTGTTTGATTTTTTTTCAGCGCTAAACATTAATGGATGCTTGCCTAGTAGATTGGCTACTAGTCCTTTGTAGATAGAATTGTAGCCTCTGAGTGACTGATAACTCTTAATGGTGCAGTAGATGTTGTTATTTTTCTGTCTTCAAATTTTTCCATTCAAAAGATCAGTCATTGCTTTTTAAGATTATATTTAGCATTTAAAACAAATTGAAACCTGTGGGAGAAGTGAAGATTACAATAGTGTGGATGAATTTTTTATCTATATAATTCACCAAAGGATATCCGGTGATACTGAAACAAAGAAAATATGTCACCAAAATACATTAAATATTTAGGTAATTTATTACTGGCAAGATGAATTTTTTTTCCTCTTATTAAGCCTGCCTTCAATGGTAAATTAGTGACTCCAAAGCTCAAAACTTCCATCAATGATAAGCTCATTTGTTTCTCTCCTAGCCAAGAAGAACTCATTAGAAATTGAATTGCAATTTAAATTAAGCTTGTTTATGATATGGGTAGTGACTAGCACGTATAAGGCCTGGGATAGTAGTATATAATATTAGCCAAAATACAATTTGAGGTACATCTCATTTAACAAATTATTTGAACCTGGAGGCTTATTTTTTATATGGCAGTAACATCAGTGTTTTAACTATAGCTGTAAAAATGACTACCTGACGATCTTACTGAGCACCACTTTTACTTTCGCCCTCCCTGAGTGTTGAGGCTGTGCTTATTTTTCAGAGTATTATTTTTACTATAACTGTAAGAATTGAAAGAGAACTGAGCAAACACACCTTCTTATTTTGTTTTCTTTACTATGTAAATATCATTTGTGTAAACATCACAAAAAAGGGATCCAAACAATTTGGTTTGAGATTTTTTTTCTCCCTAGGCATGTGCTTCAATGGGTAGAAAATGCCATATGACTGTTGCACTATAGTGTTGGTATTGAGGCTTTCTGTGTATCAAGAGTCAAAATATTTATAGCTGCAGAGTGTTTATAAGTGGATTAATCCCTCTTCTAGAAGATTTTTAAAGGAGCCCTAGAAGCACTATTGTTATAGAAGGGAAAACCATGGAAAAATGTTTACAGTCTATAGCAAGTGCACTCTATATACTGGTTCAAACTGGGGCCCTACAAGAGCACCATGTTGGCCTCTTGGGATAATTAGAGTCCACCTGACCAAATGACTTGAGCATAAGTTGTTTTCTCTTTTTTTTTTAAGGTTAAATCAATAAGCTATATACCTTTACTACTGAAATCAACACTATAGCGGAGACATATTAATTGGAAATCAACAGTCATAGTAGATTTACTTCATCAACTTTTTTTAAAGAGTATGTCTGCTTTTGATTTCCATCCTGTTTTGAGGCACATGCATTTACAACCAGTTCTTAGAAGAAAACCACCATACTATCTTATCCTGTAAGCAAGAGGTACTAATGTTGGTTAACAAGGTATTCTTTAATAAAAGAAATCCTTTGCTCCAAAGGCTTTTGAAATAATTAGATTCCTTTTTGAAAATGAAGATGAATTTGACTGTGTCCCGGTAGAAAAATACTACTGCTGTTGCATGAATAGACAGTATAAAGCTAGTGGCGAGGCTTGTCTGACTTCTTCAGTGACATTTTAAGGTCTGCTTTTATTTTCTCTCTCTCCTTTTGTATTATTTCTCTCAAACAGTAAATTTTACAGCCAGAGTGGTGTTCTGTTTTTCGTAAGCTTTGAGATACAAAAATTGTTCATTAAACCACATTGATGATAAATTCTTTTCCATGTGAAGTCAACCTTTTCAAAATAATTTAAGTACTTTTTGGTTTTGCTTCCCTAAAAATGGCTTGTGTCTAAAGTGATTCTTTTCTGTTTAGAGGGTTCTAATGAAAGATACTTGTGTGTACAAACTCTAAGCTTATTGAAAGCAATTTCATTACAGCAGTATCTCAAGGTGTAGTGTGGGCAAGTTTTGGTCAGTGCCTTATCAATTTGAAGACCAACCCTAGGGCATCGAGTATGACAAAAATCATCTGCCCTTTTACTCCTCTTGCTTCAGGAGTGTGTGCTATCCCTCTCTCCACCAGCTGAGTCTTTCTCACAGTGAGTCTAAGAAAGCTGTACAGAGGACTCTAGGTAATTGTTACAGTCTTCCTTGGTTTTGAATCTTTTTAGACAAGCTCCCTCCCTTCTTTCTCCTCTCCCTCCAGGGTAGCAGATTAAAAATAAACCCACCCAAGTCAGCCTTTAGATAAGCACTCTGGAAAGCAACTTGAAGAGCATCCAACCAAGATAATTTGTATTTTGTTGTTGTTGTTTTGAGCATAGATTAAATCATAAAGCCTTTCTGAAAGTCTGTAAAAGATTAAGATATAACTAGAAAGATTGGTTTGGGTTTTAATAAAGCTACTGAAATCCAGAAATTAAGATTTATTTCAGTTCATTCTTACATAGAACTCAGAACAAACCAGTAGTCACTTAACCTCTATCAGTTACTCTTTACTTAGAAATATATTGCAGGAAAATGAAAATAACTTCAATGTATAAATTAAAGGGGAGTTAGAGACTCAATTAGCATTCTCTGTGAAAGCAAAGCTTGAAAATCTTTTGCTTCTCTAATATTATTTCAAGATCTGGAGCTACTGTTCAACTGAGTCAAGACACTATTTTCATGTTTTTTAAAGGGCTGGTATGTTCCAGAGGTAGGCAAGTAGACATAGTCTTTAAATCCAGATGAAGGGTTAACTGGTCCTTGATGTTTATTAGCAGAATTTAAAGTTTTATTCTAGCCATTCGGACTGCAAAGTGGTGATGGGTTTAAACATACGTAATTAGAGTGCTTTTGGATTGAGCTTTTTTAAAAATAGACAACAGAAAACTTCATGAATATTAGCTGTGCTTTAGATACCAGGTACCAAATATTAAGTCCCCCCTGAAGATATCACCTACTAGAACTACTCACACATATAGTCCAGTAACTGTTGACTAATTAGGTATGCCAGAATAGCTAATAATGAGTCACAGAGTCTCAAGAGTTTCTACACCCTTATTATTGACAAATTCATTGTTTTACTACCTGTTGAAGTGTATGTGTGGGGAGGGGTGGGGGACTGGTCCACAGCATAAGCCAATGAAAGTCGAACATCTGGGGTAAACACCCAGTGATGATAATATACAGGAAAACACAAGCCATTTTTATTCCTCTTTATCCCATTTAACTTGAGGTACTCTAATGATGAAGCACTCAATTGCACTATGACCTCTGTGAGTGATGTGCAGCTTGGTTCCCCTCTCACTTTTCATTTCTTTCTGATATGCAAATATGAGTGTGTGGTCTTCAGTGTGTTTGCATAAGCTAACTTAAAATGAATTTAAGTACAAATTTCTGAAATATTTCTATTGAAATAAATTACTTAAAAATTGTGTGGGGATATTTTGTTACCATATTTGCATTTATCATTAACTTCTAAAGTCCAAATGAACTCTAATTTGTTTGCTTTCTAAAATATTTATGATTGGAACAAGGTCGTTGGTAGAGAAGAAGTGTCTGAGTAAATCTCCATTGCTCTTTAGAGCGGAACAAGTACGTGTTCTGCCATGTGGACAGATGGGCTCTGAGCAATCCCCAAAGAGGCCCTGTTTGCTACTACTGTATTTCATAGGTTCTAAGACATGACATTTTTCACATTTTACCATCTCCGAAAACAATCCGTCTTCTAGCATATGGAGCCTTAAATTGGAAGAAGTACAGAAATACTGTGAGTCTTTGGCTGGGGTGTTGATTAAGCCCCATCTAAGAATTCCAAATGAGCTTACCCTCTAAGAGGCTTGGGAGCCCCTTCAGCCAGAACTGGATGTTTTGGCAAACCAGAACTCCTTTTCAACAGTTTTCTCACCTCTTTAGTGACCTTTGAAATTTCTCTCTGTCCCTGTACTGGAACCAAAAGAGAGTAACGATTCTCTGATGGGATCAACCTGTCTGCATCACAGACCATTTACCTGTGTGCTCACCTGCAGCTTCACTCCCCATGTGTCTCCTTTCTCTGGTTTACTGGTTTGGTCATTTCACATAAGCCTCACTCTGCTTGAACTTGCCGTCTAAACTTACCTGGCCAGGAAAGGGGATGAGGTATATATTTAACATCCTCAGCCTCTTACCCGCCCTGTCTCATCATGGAGCTTCTTGGGCTTATTACTGTTCTCATCCCTCTGCCCCCTTCCCTTTCAGACAGGATTCATACGTTCTTGTTGATCAACCTGAGCCATTTATGACAGGAATCACTACACTGGGAAGTTTATAGACTGTCTCATATTGCCTTGTCTTAAAAAATCATCAATATAGCTGTGTATATATTTTTCTTTAGTTTCTTAAATTTATTGTGTATCAAACATACAAAAAGTTGTATAGCATAAAAACACCTATGATCTCACTCAGTTTTATCAAATGTTAGCATTCAGATTTTTAAAAATTTAATTACAGATTTAATTTAAACCTCCTTGTGATGGTTATGATTGTGTGTCAACTTGGCTGGGCCATGATTCTCCGTATTTTGGCAGTGGTATAATGTGATCACTTCCTTGTTGAGATTTGATATGTGATCACCCCCATGATGGGATCTGCCAGTCAGTTGAAGGGGAGTTTCCTTGGGCGTGTGGCCCGCATTGACTGTGGGCGGACTTTCAGGCAGGGCTCGGGGGCTTTTTTGCTGGTTCTGGATCCTACAGCTGTCTCCTGTTCCTGTGACCTCCGGTTCTTGGGGCTTGAGCTAGCAGCTTACCTGCAGCCTTGCCTGCCGATCTTGGAATTCATCCATCTTCACAACCTGTGAGCAACAGCCCTGCTTTCTGGCCTGCCCATCTTGGGTTTGCCAACCCCTGCAGCTACGTCAATTAGGAGAAGCCTCTTTCCTGACCCATGGACTTGGGACGTTACAGCCTCTACAACTGCGTGAGCCATTTCCTTGATACAAATCTCACTCTCTCTCTCTCTATGTATACGCTTTACTGCTTTTGCTTCTCTGGAGAACCCAGGCTAAGACACTCCTGTATACCCACTTCCATGGCACCATCTTTTTTCCCAGACGTAAACACTATGCCGAATGTGTTCTCATGAATTTTTGGTGATTTTTTACTACATTATGTATCCATAACAAGATCTAATGTTGCTTTCCACATTTCTAAGCCTCATATAAGTAATATCATGCCATGTATATCTTTCTTCTAACTTGCCATGTTAGACTAACACTGTTATAGAGTTTTGCCTGTGTTGAAACATCTAACTAAATAATACCATTAGATGTATATACCTAATCTGTTGATGAACATACAAGTTGTTTCCAATTTTTTGGTACTCCAAAACCAGTGAACCATCGTATACGTGGTAATACTTGTCTAGGGTTTACTTCTAGGAATAAAATTGCCAGGTTGGAGGGTGTGCATATCATTTTCTAAGCTACTGACCAATTGTTCTCCAAGATGGTAGGGCCAATTTAAACTTCCATCACTAAAGTGAAAGTTTCTGTTGTCCATTTTCTGCCCATACTTGGTATTGTCAGACTATTTGCCATTTGAGGTGGCTCATTTTAATTTGCATTTCCCTAGTGGCTAGTGAAATTGAGCACCTGTTTATATGGTTTATTAACCATTTGGATTTCTTTTTCCATGAGTTTATATCCTTTGCCCATTTTTCTTTTGGGCTGGTTGATTATTTTTCTTATTGATATATAAGAATACCTTAGAAATTTTTAACACGTATCATCACAAATAAATGGCCATCTC